ACTTTAGAGTTCCACTCTTTGCAAAATTTGGTGATTGAAAAATGTCCCAAGATGCAAACATTTGTTGGTTCAAGCACAAAAGGCCAAAGAAGCAAGTGAAGAAGAGTTTGAGGGACAAATAGATCAAGAAGGCAACTCTAGCGTCACCATACAACCATTTTTCAATGAAAAGGTACGTGCTCTCTCTCTCTCTCTAAACTACTAATGTATAAAAACGGAAAACATGGGAGAAAATTATCATATATCTATGTTGATTTATCAGTTCCATAGGACGATCAATTTTTAGGATAGGAAATGTGACATGTAACCAATACTAATTGTGGTCCCTAGTTCGTCTCTACTTCACTCACCACCTGCCTGTGAAAAAGACTCCTTTCAATTTTTCTTACTTGCAGTAATTCAAACTGAAGCAATGAGAAATTGACTTGAACCTAATTGGACCCAAACTCGAAGCCATATACTCTTTTTCATTTTTTATTTTTTTAGAAATTGAGACTGATGCATGGAAACAAAAAGTTATGGTAGTTGTTTTGTTAGTAATATCTAGTTATCTATTTATTATTCCTTTTGTTTGGGTCATTGTTTTGTTTTACTTCCTTGTTTCTCAAGCCCAACACATGACTGTGAAAATGCTCACGTGATTGGTGAAGAAAGTTTGAATTGTTCAAGTGGCAAAGTTTTTAATTACTATTGATGATTCTTCTTATCCTATATATTAATCAAGTATAACGTAATTTCTAGTTCCTTTTCTCTCCTTGAAAGTTTATAGTATTTGTCTAATTATGAACATTCATGTGTTAATATAACATAAATTGGCAGGTTGTATTTCACAACCTCGAGGATTTGAATCTTCAGAGATTAGATAACCTGAAAAAGATATGGCACAACGAACTTCCAGTAGATTGCTTTAATCAACTAGATGTTCTAACTGTGCGTAAATGTAACAATTTGTTAGAAGTTGTACCATCCAAATTACTCCCAATGCTACACAATTTGGGCAAGCTTGTTGTAAGAGAATGTGATTTAGTGGAAGAGGTCCTGGAACAAGGAGAAGATTCTTCAGGAAAACTTGTGTTCCCTAATGTTCACACTCTTGAACTTGTACATCTACCAAACCTCAAGAGTTTCTACTTGGGAAATCATACTTTGGAATGGCCATCCTTAACAAAAGTGACATTGAAAAATTGTCCCAAGATGCAGGCCTTCTCTTCAGGGCTCCTAATCACACCAAAGCTACATATCAATTCATAGGGTGGTTTCTGGAAAGGCGACCTTAACAGCACTGTTCAACGCGTTCTGAAAGAGGTACGAACTAATGTTGATACACTTTAGATTCTTATCATTCCCATTTTTTCAAACCTTCAGATTTTGACTTGGAGACATCAGTGTGCGGCACTCAAACAGGGTGATACGTTATCACCCTCATTTTTTACCCTTATTGTGGAATGATTGAATAGGTTAATGTTGATGGCAAAGAGAAGTAATCTTGTAGAGGGTTTTTAGTTGGCAGTGAGAGGGTATCTGTGTCGCATTTTCAGCTTGCAACTGATGTTGATTAGCTATGAAATATACATAATTGTGTCATTATTTGTTGGTTAATTGCAACAGATTGGAATTTAAATTTGCATGAATGATGAATTTTATATTTTAACCCTATTTCTATAGTGTTTGTTTGTTTTCAAGTAAATATGTCAAAATAGGAAAGTTATAGGGAAAATATGCAAAATGGAGAAAACTTGGAATGTTTGAACGCGTTCAAACGCAATTTCTAGAGGATTATCCACGTTTGGACGTAATCTACACATTTGGACGTGATTTCCAAAGAAGTTGGTGTGTTCGGACGCATGAAATTCGCGTCTAGACACGGATTATGAAATCTACAAGAAGAGGGCATGCGTCTCGGGCACGGTGTTCCTTGCATCTAGACGTGAGAGACAGTTTGCCAAAACGTAGTCCTTAATTCTGATTAATGTATAAATACTTGTAAACGCTAACCAGGGAATACTTAATCCTCAATTTTCCCTAGTTTTTGCTTTTGTTTTGTTCTATGGTTACTAAATCCTCAAATAAAGCAAGGAGAGATTACTTTAACGAAGCACAATATTTTTTTTTTGATCTATTGTTCTTTAATGTATGATTTTTTTAATTAATTCATTTCTTTTAGTAAAAATTTTTGTTCTATAAAATATCTTCATTCTTTATGTCACGTACATCAAATATTTTAGATTTTTAGTGGGTTAAATAATTGGTTTTGAATTAATTAATTAGAATTATCATAAAATAATTGATTTCTTGTTTGTGATAAAAACAAATTTAATTGTTGGAGAACTTGATTCATCGTCGATTCCAGGCACAGTAAATGCTTGTGATTTATAATTAAATATTAATTTTTATTTAAATAATTTATTTATTATATTTTTAATTTATTTTTAATATTATCACTACAAAATCTTTTCGATTAAGATTACTCTTTAGTTGAGTTTTAATTGAGTTTGAAAAACTGGATTAGGAATAAAAATTGTGGAGTTGGAAGCGGATCTCAATGCTTTAGTTGTTTCAAACCCAAAATTCACTTTTTCCAAATTCAACTTTTTCAAACTACTTCAAAAATAATTTTATTTTAATTTTTCTTTGTATCTTGAGTTATTCATCAACTAAAGCATTGAGATCCGCTTCCAACTCCACAATTTTTATTCCTAATCCAGTTTTTCAAACTCAATTAAAACTCAACTAAAGAGTAATCTTAATCGAAAAGATTTTGTAGTGATAATATTAAAAATAAATTAAAATATAATAATAAATTATTTAAATAAAAATTAATATTTAATTATAAATCACAAGCATTTACTGTGCCTGGAATCGACGATGAATCAAGTTCTCCAACAATTAAATTTGTTTTTATCACAAACAAGAAATCAATTATTTTATGATAATTCTAATTAATTAATTCAAAACCATTATTTAACCCACTAAAAATCTAAAATATTTGATGTACGTGACATAAAGAATGAAGATATTTTATAGAACAAAATTTTTACTAAAGAAATGAATTAATTAAAAAAATCATACATTAAAGAACAATAGATCAAAAAAAAATATTGTGCTTCGTTAAAGTAATCTCTCCTTGCTTTATTTGAGGATTTAGTAACCATAGAACAAAACAAAAGCAAAAACTAGGGAAAATTGAGGATTAAGTATTCCCTGGTTAGCGTTTACAAGTATTTATACATTAATCAGAATTAAGGACTACGTTTTGGCAAACTGTCTCTCACGTCTAGATGCAAGGAACACGTGCCCGAGACGCATGCCCTCTTCTTGTAGATTTCATAATCCGTGTCTAGACGCGAATTTCATGCGTCCGAACACACCAACTTCTTTGGAAATCACGTCCAAATGTGTAGATTACGTCCAAACGTGGATAATCCTCTAGAAATTGCGTTTGAACGCGTTCAAACATTCCAAGTTTTCTCCATTTTGCATATTTTCCCTATAACTTTCCTATTTTGACATATTTACTTGAAAACAAACAAACACTATAGAAATAGGGTTAAAATATAAAATTCATCATTCATGCAAATTTAAATTCCAATCTGTTGCAATTAACCAACAATAATGACACAATTATGTATATTTCATAGCTAATCAACATCAGTTGCAAGCTGAAAATGCGACACAGATACCCTCTCACTGCCAACTAAAACCCTCTACAAGATTACTTCTCTTTGCCATCAACATTAACCTATTCAATCATTCCACAATAAGGGTAAAAAATGAGGGTGATAACGTATCACCCTGTTTGAGTGCCGCACACTGATGTCTCCAAGTCAAAATCTGAAGGTTTGAAAAAATGGGAATGATAAGAATCTAAAGTGTATCAACATTAGTTCGTACCTCTTTCAGAACGCGTTGAACAGTGCTGTTAAGGTCGCCTTTCCAGAAACCACCCTATGAATTGATATGTAGCTTTGGTGTGATTAGGAGCCCTGAAGAGAAGGCCTGCATCTTGGGACAATTTTTCAATGTCACTTTTGTTAAGGATGGCCATTCCAAAGTATGATTTCCCAAGTAGAAACTCTTGAGGTTTGGTAGATGTACAAGTTCAAGAGTGTGAACATTAGGGAACACAAGTTTTTCCTGAAGAATCTTCTCCTTGTTCCAGGACCTCTTCCACTAAATCACATTCTCTTACAACAAGCTTGCCCAAATTGTGTAGCATTGGGAGTAATTTGGATGGTACAACTTCTAACAAATTGTTACATTTACGCACAGTTAGAACATCTAGTTGATTAAAGCAATCTACTGGAAGTTCGTTGTGCCATATCTTTTTCAGGTTATCTAATCTCTGAAGATTCAAATCCTCGAGGTTGTGAAATACAACCTGCCAATTTATGTTATATTAACACATGAATGTTCATAATTAGACAAATACTATAAACTTTCAAGGAGAGAAAAGGAACTAGAAATTACGTTATACTTGATTAATATATAGGATAAGAAGAATCATCAATAGTAATTAAAAACTTTGCCACCTTGAACAATTCAAACTTTCTTCACCAATCACGTGAGCATTTTCACAGTCATGTGTTGGGCTTGAGAAACAAGGAAGTAAACAAAACAATGACCCAAACAAAAGGAATAATAAATAGATAACTAGATATTACTAACAAAACAACTACCATAACTTTTTGTTTCCATGCATCAGTCCTCAATTTCTAAAAAAATAAAAAATGAAAAAGAGTATATGGCTTCGAGTTTGGGTCCAATTAGGTTCAAGTCAATTTCTCATTGCTTCAGTTTGAATTTACTGCAAGTAAGAAAATTGAAAGGAGTCTTTTTCACAGGCAGGTGGTGAGTGAAGTAGAGACGAACTAGGGACCCACAATTAGTATTGGTTACATGTCACATTTCCTATCCTAAAAATTGATCGTCCTATGGAACTGATAAATCAACATAGATATATGATAATTTTTCTCCCATGTTTTCCGTTTTTATACATTAGTAGTTTAGAGAGAGAGAGAGAGCACGTACCTTTTCATTGAAAAATGGTTGTATGGTGACGCTAGAGTTGCCTTCTTGATCTATTTGTCCCTCAAACTCTTCTTCACTTGCTTCTTTTGGCCTTTTTGTGCTTGAACCAACAAATGTTTGCATCTTGGGACATTTTTCAATCACCAAATTTTGCAAAGAGTG